AGGAGTGCGTCGCTGACCGAGAATCGACTCCGGACCACATGATTAGGCGTGGCTGACCAACATTCTACCGTTTGACCACCAGTGGTAGTGATTTGGTAGTTGGCCTGAGATAAAGAAGCTCGTTTTTCGAAACTATTCCTATTCTGCATTTATCATATAGTTGGACTACAATGAAAGCTGAGATATAGAAAAAACCACAACATCTATTGAACAAGTATTATGAAAGTACCTACTGGTTTGTAGGGATTTGATTGATTGCTTACAGGATTTCATCATAAGCTGACATTGGTTAGAGATGATGATGGTGATGATGATAAAATCCTGTAACCAATCAATCAAATCCCTACAAATCAACACTTGAATTTTGATGAGATGCTCACTGGCGACTTACCCTATTCAGGTAGGTAGTTACCTGGGATTCTAGTGAGAAGTTCAGTGAGACCAGTAGGGTGCAGCACGTCGGGCGTGAGGAAAACTACTTGCCGAAGACTATGGCTAGTGGTTGCGCTATGTCGTGAATTGGCAGAAGTTAGAATTCATGGATTGGCCATTGGGTCGGGTCCCAGTGGCTTAATGGTCTACGAGCTCGCTAGCCTTGTAACCAGAAGGTCCTGGGTTTGAATCCCGGTGGGTGCGTACTGATAAAGAGTCGTGGACTGGGATGAAACAGCTGTCCAGCAGTCCCTGGTTGGTTTTCCAATGGTTCTCTAACCAATGTCAGCTCATGATGAAATCCTGTAACCAATCAATCAAATCCCTACAAACCAACACTTGAATACTTACTGGTTTAATGTTAACATACTGTGTCAAGTTAAATGACTTCTCACGCTGATTAAAGAAATAATTCATTATTGTCAACACACCAATACTTACTATAATATTTTTACTTTTCATATGGCTTTCCTGGGTTCGACCTCACCCCCTAGCCAGTGGTGAATGGGAGCATGGGTGAGTATTGATGAAGAGTCCCAAACAAGGACGAAACAGCAGTCCGGTACTCCCTGCCGTGGTTTTCAATAAATATGAATACAGTCAGTACCCCATGATCAATCTTGGAATATGATTTGTGTCTTTAAAAAGACCTTAAGTTATGATAACAGATTGATAGAAGTAGCTATCCTTTCTCTTAGTGCAAGTATGTTTGCCGTCTTATGATCGACAGGTAAGAGAAATTAAGGGATACAGAGAGGGAGAGGGAGTTGAATTGTACCAACAGAAGCTGATTTCATTTCCTAAAATACCTTGAAAATGTCAATAAACTGCTTGAATTTACTGAATAATAGTAATAATAATAATAATAGTACTATACTGTGTTGCCTATATACATAATATTATCTTCTGTGTAATACACATTATCAGTCTTAAGTAATAAGTAGCATATGTAATTATTTTGTGTTCACTCTTCCCCTCTCCTATTTTTTCCACCTGTGGTGTTGGTGTTCATCAGCAGGAATATTTTCTTCACAGTGATGATTTCAAATAGATTTCTCTCTCCCTCTCTCTCTCTCCCGCGTGCGCGCGTGCCTTCTGTTAGCTTTTAAAACAAAGTTAATTTGATAAATTTTTTATCCTTTTTTTGTTTCAATTAGCTTGATTTTATAAATCTTATTATAATAATTATAATTATAGTTATTATTACATACAATATATCAGTGTGTGCGTAGTCAGGCAAGCCAGAGGTTATTATTAAAATGTGTGCTGTCTGTAGGAGGAGTCAGTGTTCAGCCACAAGGCGCTGTGATGGATGACCTTTTGTTGGCATTCTTTCTTTCGTTGATTCGATGTTTGTTTGGTTGTTTGTTTCTTTCTTTTTGACTTGTTGTTGTTGTTTACTTCCTAACTAGGGTTCTTCTCTTTTGTCCAACTTTTAAATACCTTTTTCATTGAATGAATACTCTAATTGATGTTTGTATGCTGCTTTTACTATAAATGTCATAGCTACATTCATTCAATGAACTTTGGTGATTTATATAGTGCTTATAGAATTGGCATTAAACAATTAGGTGTTAATTAATATGTATATACATACAGATTATCTCTGACAAAGTTTGTTATAATATGTGTATTGTAGCCTTGCCTAAGCCCTCTACACCTAACTTTATATATTTCTGATCACCGAACTGTTGTACTACCTAACACGAGAAATCGAACACCGATTATTATTATTATGATTATTCCTTTGGGTTCCGAGTGGGACATAAGGCTTCAGCAGCACATCTTCATCTTGTCCTGTCCTGTGCAGTCCTTTTAAGCTGTCTCCACGGTGTCCCATTAGCATTCATCTCCTCCGTCTTACGCGATCTCCTCTATGTCACCAGTGAATTCAAGCCCACGCTGTGTCACTTTTATGCCGTCTCTGGCGTAGACGTGATATCCGGCTGGCTATCGACCAAAGGTCGGGTGTACTGCTCAGCAGTCCGCTCCCACCTCCTCCTTTATGGCTGTTAGATCTGACTATTGAGTGGAAGACATGAAAAAATTAGCTGTCTTCGATCACAGGTGTCTGCGTCATATCTCTCATGTGAAGTGGTATAATAAGGTGAGCAATATTGAGGTTAGGCGTCGAGTGCTAGGTAAGGAGGGGAAATAAATCGACGATGTGAAATTACCTCGACTGAGATGGTTAGGACATGTGTTACGTATGCCTAGTCATTGCCTTCCTCGACGGGCAATGTTAGCTGATATAGGGTCAGGCGGGAAAAGAGCTAGCGGCGGTCAAACGAAAACACGGCACCAGTCAATGAAATCCATTACAGTTAGTTTAAGCCAGCCAGCCACGTAGGAAGGTGTAGACTTCCTGGTTGGGGTCCTCAGGACGGTAAAAACAAATGGTTGGAAACAATTGGTGACATGGCTCAAAATCGTTCCCAATGACAGCGCAGATGCATCTACTCCTTGTGACTTATGATTTCCAATGAAACTGTTTTGTTCTTCGTTATTACTATACCTTTGTTTCACACCTCTGTTTACTGTCTTTATTTTGCATTTCTCCTACTTTGTTCTCTTGCTTTGTGTGTTACATGGAGTGTGGTGACTTGAACTGCTGCACATCGGTGCAAAGTTGTATGTTGAAAACTGACAGACAGATAGAAGCTGTGTCACTTGGTAGCTTCCTCAGAGTGTGTCCCATCCATCTCCATTTTCTTCAGAATAATTTGATGAGCAATAAGTTTTTGATTGGTTTGTTCCCGGAACACTTTAGAAGTCTTAAACAACATCTACGTATTGAAGTACCATTCTTTAGTCAACCGAGATCACCCCCTTTCCCAATAGGTGGTTATGTCTTGTGTCCTTTTGAGTTCTCTCTTGATTATACTCACTAACTGACTTTTTAATGTTCTTGAAAAAAACAAAACAAACATTGAAATAATTTCTTCTTATTCCACCCGACCAAGTCGTTTTTTCTTTTGGTTATAGAATTTCTTCTTTTCAATCAACATTGGAAACTAAATAACTTTTTTTTAAATTTCTCTTAATGATGAAACACAGAGCTGAATTGAAATTAAATCATAAAATAAGCAATAAAATTTCTTAATATACTACTACTACTGCCCAGAGAGGTGGAGAATACTTTCCGACTGGAATTAACTCTAGTCAGAAGCTGCGGTTATTCAAAGCAAGCAAGTAAGCCAACAAAACATGTGTGCACAATAGTAGCATGTGTACTGTAATAAAATTGATGATTAGAATTAAAATTAAAATCAGATTGAAGATTACATGAAGTGATAAAAAGAAAAAGTGGGTCAGGTTTTAATGTCGGCGAAGACTGGACTATCGAATAATGATTATGTGTAGGTTTTTCTATAGTTTGGTTTGTAAGGGTTAGTTTTGTATTTACGAGTTGATCACGGATTGATATCAGTTAGAGAATCATTGAAAACCAGCTGCGGGGGAGTACTGGACAGCTAGCTGTTTCATCCCACTAGTTTGGGAATCATCGGCAGTACGCACCCACCACCACCAGGGTTCGAAACCAGGACCTTCCGGTTACAAGGCAAGCTTGCTCGTATACCATTCAGCCCCTGGGACCCGATTCAATGGCTATTCCATGAATTCTAACTTCTACCAATTATGTAGGTGTTTTGCTGTGGTTGTTTTTTTTACCAGTAAAGCTTAAAGGATGATTGTGCAGTGCTGAATCAATGTAGGATATTGCCGTCACTATTTTGTATTTTAGATAATGAGTTTTATGGGGAGTTGAGTGAATTTAATATAGGTTTCGCAAAATGTTTCTTCTTATTGTGGACTCTTCAGTGCGCGTACCCACAACACCACTGGTAAGGATAGAACCCGTGACCTTAAGGTCTCGAGACCGAGTTCGTCGTTGACCATTCAGCTAATTGAACTGGAATTTAATGAACCATGAATTCTATAGCTTTGTGAACTCATGAATAAAGCGGCAATCTCAACCTATGCCTTTCCTAAGCAACATTCACTTCGCTTTGAATTGGTGGATTTCACTGGCTACAACTTCTAAGTATGGATTCGTGAAAATCCATCCAGTGGCCATCAGTGAGCTAGGCAGTTGATATTTAGATTATGGAATTTGTGAGGCTTTGTATTTTGTCACAGCTGATTTACCGTTTTCTCTTGTTGGTTTTCTTTTGAGTGTGTGTATGTGTGTGTGTGTGCCAAAATTGTTTATTCTTATTCGGGAGTTTTATGCTATCAGATTCTTGTTGAGTGAGATAAGTTTTATGTCACATTGTGTATTTTATTATCCTAAGAACTGTAGTAGTTCTTTCTTGTATTAGTTAACCAATAGCTGCATTGAATTTTAATTGGTTCTTACATTCTATTGGTCGCCATTCGGTGATCATTTTTTAGCCAATAGAAAATTAGTTATCGTTACTGCTTATTTATAATTTCTATATCATTGAATTCACGCTGTTTTAAAAAACAAAACCGCACAGATATACTATTAAATGTTCTGTTTTTGTTGTTAAATGATGGAATATAAAATTTATTATTACTATTATTCATCCTTTTCAATCTTCTAGTTGATACAAACAGATTGGTCTACAGTCTTCTTGGTGCTCATGATGCCAGTTTCAGTATTGAATCACACACTGGCCTGTTGAGAGTTAGTCGACCATTAGACCGGGAAGTCAAGAGTACGCATACACTGACTGTTCTAGTGACAGACGGTTCACGTTCTAGTTCACAATCTACTAGTGTTTCATTTACATCGAGTGCAACATTTACTATACAACTGTTGGATGTTAATGACTCTCCACCGCAATTTGTAAATACATCTGCACATCGTATAAAAATATCAGAACTGGCTCGTGTAGGTGAAAGGTTGACTCGCCTAAAGGCGATCAGCCAAGATGAAGGAGATAATGCAGTTATACACTATCGTCTACTTACTAAACAACCGGAATTTGGTTTAAATGAAACTACCGGTAAGTTATTGTATTTTTTGAAATTTGAGTAAAGTGTTTTTTTCATATTGAGATTATGAGACGTTATGATTTTATAATCTCACAGTGCTACTTTCATATTACCACTGTTTTATTTGCCTTTTAGGCTTTTATAGGGATGTCTTATTCCAACTACAGAAGCGTTTTAATAAGCATTTTTGCATACTGTGATAAACACGTTTTAAAAACACAATCTCTTCATCTACTTTTTTGGTTCAGGACGTTTTTTCTGTTAAATATATTTGATCGGATGCTCTACTCCTTTTATCTATCTATATATCCGTAACTATGCATAGTCTCTAACTTCTATGATCTTCAAGTATAGATTCTAGCAACCACGTTTTACAATTCAACGATTCAAACTACACTTTACCGCTCGGTTCACAATGATAGTTGATGACTTCATGGATTTGTTTCAAATTATGATCTGATCGACCTTTGCTTTCTTTCTTTCTTCTAACCTAATCCTACTTCTAGCAATAAAGGATTTTCCAAACGATATTAAGTCTTCTGAGGTAATCGACAAGGGAGGAATTCTCCAACTGCTCAGAGTCAACTTAATGTCCACTTCGATGATGAGTCATTTAGCTATTGATGAACACTTTTCAAACTTGACTGATAGAGTTCAGTTTGCACCAGTATCAGTGATTCTAGAGAAATACCACTAGTTACACCCTGGTGACGAACAAAAATGAATGGTTCAATCAGTTGAGGCAACCAAGGTTTATCGTTTCCTTGACTGACCTACCTAGCTTCTTTCATTTTCCATGTAGACTGGTTACACTCAACGCAAATATCTTGATGATACGTTGACAGTGGTCAGGTATTTAGGAGTCAAGCAAACCTTTTACTTCTAACGGTGTACTCTTGCTGAATAAACTTAGGTAATAAAGGACTTTTCACTAAGAACTTCACTCTTTCCACTCCTTTTCCAGATCTGTTGCTTTTTTTTTCTTCCATGTCAAATAGCTTACTTAATCTGAAACTATAAAGGTTTTGACAACGTCTTTATTGCTTAATTTTTGTTTAACATTCTATTGGTGTTTATTAGTATCTACCTCATGCGTTTATATTTTCATAGTTAATTCTGCTCCCTTTTCCATACTGATGATAAGTATCGATTGATTAACCCCTTATAGTTATTGTATAGAACTATTACATTCTTGTGTATTCCTTTGTTGATTATCGATCATAAGCTTCTGTCTGATTATTATTTTTATTCTCTTGGGTTCCAAGTGGAACGTAGGGCTTCGGGGGTACATCGGCATTTCATTCTGTTATCTTTAGTCCTTTCTAGCTAGCTCCACAATCTCCGTTACATCACCCTTGGACATGATCTCAATTCATCTTTTTTTATTAAGGTTCCTCTTGACGGTCTGCCTTGTGCATATTGTCTCTCAGCAGTCTCAGCAGTGTGTCCAATCCACCTCCATTTCCTTCTACATGTTTGTTAGGCAATAGGCTGTTGATTGGTTCGTTGCACTACCAGAGTTCCCTGTTGCTTATGCTTTCTAGCCACAGACGTTCATCTGATCTTTAGTATGAAGTGAAGGGAACAGCAGGTACATCCAGATGACGAGTCCCAAATAGGACGGAATGCGCGTTATCCTGGATTCCACTGCTAGTCACCATCCACCAATTATATATTGAGAAAAGTTTACAGTTTACTACGTACCCGACTCATCTGTATTGCTGAAGCTTTGGCTATCGAAACAGAAAAGCCAGATTTCTGTGTACAGAAAAATTTGTTCGTTCAACCCCTCTCCTCCAACTTTCATGGTCTTAATATTCCTCTATACTAAAGTATGGTAATCCCTAATCATATTTTGGCTCTATCAATTTTTCCGTTTTGTTTATTCAATTTGTATACTCTTCCTTTATTACGTCAGTTGTTACTGTTACTATTACTATTCTCACTTTGAACTGTCCGCGGTATTATTTCACTCGTTCCACTTGTCATTATAAATCAATATTAGATTTGTCAAGAATTTAAGCATTTTTTTGAGCATAACATTTATAGTAGTTTTCCCATTTAACTATATGTATACTTACTTACCATAAGTCTTCCTCGTATTCCAATGAAATAAATCTAATAAGATAAGGGAAAGTAAACATCACTGCTTTTGTCGCACACTTCTCTCTCAATGATGTTTGTGTTCATTGAATAAACTATTTGAGTAACAATTACACTAGGCAGACTGAATTACAAGGTTAATTGGTGGATGGTTACTAGCAGTGGAATCCATCAGGATGTGTATTTCGTCCTATTTGGGATTCGTCAACCGGGGGACACAGGTACATCCAGATGACGAGTCGCAAATCGGACGAAATGCGCGTTATCCTGTTGGATTCCACTGCTAATCATCATCCACCAATTAAATTCCAATTACATGCCCAGACATCGTCAAAACATCTGCACAAGAAAAGTGGACATGCCAACCTGAGACCGAGCACTTCGGTCCAATCAATGGACGGGAAAATCTAAAATGAACTACAAATTGTTCATATTAGGTAACTCGTCATTTGAATAGTGACAGTCTATGTTGAATAATTGTGAATAGTTTTCATAATTATTTCATGAAATCTTATAAGATATAATAGGTGTGTTGCATCAAAGCATTTGAAATAATGTAAAGAAGAAAAGACTGATGAAGCTTGACGGCAATGCTTATTAAGATAAACGCATTGTAGGTGCATAAATTTGGTATACCTCATCTTTAACGCATTATTGGCACATCATTTGCAGCAAATTGGTCGAATATCACCACATTTGTTGGCTTGTTGGATTCTCCACAGTGTTGTTTGTAACCTTCTTCTCACAGTTCTCTTCTTCGATTGCTTTTTTCACTGCCCCAGAACCTATTGTTAGTTTTCTGAATTCGTTTACTTATATACTACTTATATCTGATAATAATTAGCACTCACCACAATAGGTGTCACTTTCGATGCTCTTTAGAATATAATCGAAAATGTACATATTTATCATTAATATATGTATTATATATGAAAGCCCCAAATATACTTCGTCTAATGTGTATCGCATCCCCATAAGGAGGGTACATTTAAAATATACTTGTTAGAGAAAGCATGTTGATTTATTACAGCGTCTGGTCTATTCAGGGATTGCTTAAGAATTTAATAGAATATTCAGAGGTTGATCTTCTATCCTCTTTCACATCTTTTGTCTTTTCCGATGGTTTAAATAGTCATTTGAGTTTTATTCTATGATAAAAAGAAGTTTGATTATCATCAGTTAGAGAACCATTGAAAACCAGCATAGTAAGGATTATTGGACGGCTGTTTCGTCCCGGTTTGCGACTCTTCATCAGTACTCATTCATCATTGCACCGTTAGAAAACGAGCCCAAAATCTTCAGGTTCCAATGGAAGAGAATATAATGATCAGCCTGTGAGTTCTAACTTCTGTCAACTCACAATACTGGTGAAGAGTCTCAAACAAGGACGAAATACTTGTCCATTACTCCCTACTATGGTGGTTTTCAATGGTTCTCTCACCAACTGTGATACCAACCCGTGATCAAACTTGTTCAGGGGATAATAGAATAAGATCTGCTATGTAAATAGTCTTTCCGTAGTGTATTATTCTATAGAAACACTACTGTGTCTTGTCAACTTAGGGAAGTCAAATTGTTTTTTTTTTTTGCATTATGCCCATATAGGGGGATAAGAAAGTAATGACGTAAAAGGACAATTTACTCTCGCTCACTCTTAATTGATGAAAGAGGAAGTTAAATTGTTTTTTTGTTTTAGTGAGTGAGTACACATTCCATGAGTAGTACATGCGTTGCTGCCATAATCACTCAAATATATCATAGTTATCCCCTAATAAAATCAAAAATTAGCAATAATCAGATAATAATCATATTGAAAATAAGTAGTATAGTATAGTAGTTAGTAATACTGGTCAATTATATTTGACAAGTCAATAGTGTAGTCACATTAGAAGAATCAGTAGTAGGTAGGTATATTATGGATAGTGGTGGGTGTGTGGGTGGGGAGGGGGCTATTAAACAGAAGAAGAATTGATTTCATTCAGTAATTCATTCACTCACTGTTGTCCATAATCAGTTCACTATGAGATATCTTGGTGGTTGGGTAATTTGATCTACTTTTGTATTGTTATAAGGATTAACTGAGGATGAGATTATAGGCAAGAGAGAGAGAGAAAATAAACTTCTAGTTTGGGTTTGATTACTTCTAAGTAGTAGTAAGGTACACTGGCAAGGCGAATATTTTGATGGAAGCCCTTTTTTTTCTCTTTCAAAAATTGCTTTTTCTCTTCTTCTTTGTATTTTGCTCTGTTCATAATAGGGTAGTTACTTCGAATTTCGTAATTAATATTTCCTGAAAAAACTTGACTAAGGCGTACTCTATGGTAAGTACTCAGTACCTGTCTATAGCAGCCTAACCAACGCATTCCTCTTACATATGAATGTCATTTAGATTTTCATGAGACAGCTTTCAGATAAATATTTGAAGGATGAATCCAGTTGTTGTAAATCACGGAATAGTTATCTTCCAGATTTATCTCTTTTGAAGGAAGGGGGGAGCGAGGGAAAGGTTGTAGGGATTTCGGTCAATTTCAGTGCCAGATATCATGACAAACCGATATCTGTTAGAGAATTATAGAGACCAAGGCGGAGCATTGGCCAAGTAATCCATAACGGGCAAATGACGGAATCCTTCGAAGTGAAGACGGGAGTAAGATAAGGCTGGACGGCTGCCTACTATCTCCAATGATTCTCCTGATTGCGGTAGACTGGTTGATTTGACAGATAGCGACGGGCAGCGAGGAAACAGGCCTAAAACGGATCCACACAAAAAAATTGGAGGATCTGGACTTCGCCGATGATATATGTCTGATTTCCCACAAACTGGAAGATATGCAAGTGAAAAGCAACAAGTTAGCTATGGAAGAAGCATCAACGATAGGACTTCAGGTGAACATAGAGAAAACAGAGG